TGGCCCCCCCCCGTAGACTGGTGGATTTTCTATTATATCTATTTTCGGCAGCCGATAAAATGTATTGTTTTGCCGATAGCGTTTCGGCCGTTTCCGTTTTTATCGTTCGCCGTCAAAAAGCTAATCTAATCTAATCGAATATTTAAACTTGTTTGATGCAATAAAATGTCTGGCTGTATGTAGTACCTATCTATTTTATTATTGACGATATTTATTGTGTAATGATAATTTGTTAGTTGACATATAGTTACGATACAATACGCACACAGCCGCTGTAACTGTCGATAATCAACATCAAACGTGTCACGTGTATAGTTGTATTATTTTATTAAAATGTCAAAGCGTAGTGCCGATTTTATGCAAAATTTTCTTAAAAAAAAAAAAATGTGTCATTAAAGACAATGAAATGGTAGACGTCCCAGCTCCCATTTCGTCAAATCAACCTATGAAAAATGTAGACATTGATCCAACATCAAATCAAAACAAAGGTACTGTAGAAGACAATGAAATGGTAGACGACCCAGCTCCTATTTTGTCAAATCAACCTATGAAAAATGTAGACATTGATCCAACATCAAATCAAAACAAAGGTACTGTAGAAAATATAATTATAGATATTGGTATTGCATTAAGTTCAAAATCAACAATTGATGATTTTACTAAAAAACAGTTACTTGAAAATCATTGGAAACCACCAATAGGTTACAATTTTCCTTATTCAAGTCACACAAAAAATGGAATTCTTCGTAAACGATTTTTGAAACAAGAACATATAAATAAATATTTCTGGCTTGTTTTTTCGCCTTCAGAAAGTGGATTATTTTGTGTTTATTGTTCTATTTTTCACAATAAAACTGGTCATGGATTTAATAACCATACTCAATTAAAGTCATTAGTAGTTGAGCCTTTAAAGAAATTCGCTAAGTTATTAGGAAAGGATGGTTACCTTGAAACGCATGATAATAATTTGTACCATAAAAATTCTGTACTGAACGGAAAACAATTTTTAAAATCGTATAATAATCCAGAGCTAGAAGTAGTAAACCAAATAAATTCACAGCGCCTAAAACAAGTTAATGAAAATAGATCTAGACTAAAACCTATAGTTGAAAGTTTGATTTTTCTCGGGCGGCAAAATATTGCTTTACGTGGTCATCGCGATGATGGAAGCGTTAATGATCTATCTGATAACCCATTAGAGAACGAAGGAAATTTTAGAGAGCTTTTAAAGTTTAAGATATTATCTGGAGATATCGTATTGGAAAATCATTTAAAAAATGCTGAAGCAACAGCTACTTATATAAGTAAAACGACTCAAAATACTCTTATTTCGATAATTGGAAATATAATTTTAAAAAATGTATTGAACAAAGTAAATAAAGCAAAATATTTTAGCGTAATTTTCGATGAAACAACTGATATATCTAAAACTTCACAACTGGTTATAGTTTTACGATACGTGTACGACAAAACTATAAATGAAGACTTTATTAGATTTATAGACTGTCATAAAAATAACTACGATCAATCTAGTGTCAATACTGAACCAAAAATGACCGGAGAAATAATAGGAAAAACTGTAATACATATTTTAGAAAATTTAGCTTTACCTATGAATAATTGTGTAGGAATAACTACAGATGGGTGTTCTGTGATGCAATCTGAAAAATACGGTGCAATTAAATTATTACAATCTCAAATGAAATTTGCTGTAAAATGTTCATGTTTTAGTCATGCTCTAAATTTATCAATAATGAAAGGTTGTAAAAAAACATTTGTTAGAAATGCATTTGGAATTATTAAAGAAGTAGTAAGTTTTTTCAATACTTCAGCTAAAAAAAATTTTGTTTTAAAAAATATTTTAAATAGTTCATTAAAGTCTTTATGTGAAACTAGATGGGTCGAAAAACATGATTCCATTATGCAGTTTTCTTCGAATTTGGTTTTAATTATTGAAGCATTAGATAAAATATCTGAATGGAACGATCTTGAAACGTCCTCAAAAGCGTCTATTCTAATAAAATCATTGTCAAGAGCGGAATTTATTTTAACATTAAATCTTATGTCCGATATGTTTTCAATAACTGCACCAATAAGTAGAATTATGCAATCAAAAAGTCAAGATAAATTTTCGGCTTCTACATTAAAAAATAATGTACTTAATGTTTTAAAAGAAAAACGGAAAAACAGCGTTAAAAAATTTTAATTTAATTTTTAATAATAGTAAACAATGCTTGGAAAAAATAGGAATTTTCGACGATATTAAAATCCCAAGAATAACAAAACAAATGACTAAATCCACCAACTAAAAATCCAGAAGATTATTTTCGTATCGTTTTGTTTATTCCATTTTTTAGATGACTTAATTACCGACCTTGAGTACAGATTCGATAAAAAATCAGTGTCAGTGTTTGATTTAGATATAATTTTGCCAACGTTTATTCATAATAAAGACGTTTTTAATAACCAAAAAGAAATCCAAAATAAAATTAACAATATGATGGCACAATTTTGTGAATTAATATCTATTAATTTGAACTTATCGGAAGACCTCGTAAAAAAATATTTCGAAGGAGAGCTTCAATTATGGCATACATATTGGACAAATGAAAAAGAAATTCCAAAAACATCATTAGAAGCTTTTGAAAGATGTGATTCCGAAACCTTTCCAATTATTTATAATTGTTTTCTTATACTCCTGACATTACCAGCCACTTCAGCAACTGCGGAACGAAATTTTTCTTCTCTTCGCCGACTAAAAACTTGGATGCGATCAAGAATATCCGAAGAACGCTTAAATGGACTTGCATTACTTAACTGTTATAGAAATATTAGTATTGACTCTGAAGAAGTAATTGACGAATTTGCCAAATCTAAAAGACGAATGGATTTTGTTCTGTGATCATTTTTTAATATTTATTATATTTTATTATTAATTATTATTTATTATATATTACGTGTCATTATTAATTAAACAATTTATATTACTTATCTAATTATTTAAAAGACGAAATGATTTTGTTCAGTGATCATTTATTATTAATTATCTAATAATTTTATATATTTTATTGTACTGATAAACTGGGATTTAAATAATAATATTTATCTATTAGCTTACATGGTATGTACAATGTTTTTATAATACTTAGGCCGAAATTTTATTTAAGATGCCCCCCCCCCCCCGTAAATATGTTTTAGATCCGCGCCTGTTCGGTTGTACCAAACCAACCACCCAGATAACACCGCTCACGCAGGCGCTGCTATCTATGTGAGATCTTCTCTCGCATCGCATCCACTCCCGGAATTCCAAACATACTATATACAATCATGTGCAGTATCCTTAATAGTCAACAACATACCTCTCTCACTAGCAGCCATTTACTGTCCTCCTAAACATAAAATATCCTCCGAACAGTTTAACCTTTACTTTAATACTCTTGGCCACAACTTTATAGTCGGTGGTGACATAAACGCCAAACATATCCATTGAGGATGCCGGGTCTCAAATCCTCGAGGTACTTCGCTCTTGCATAGTATATCAACCAAAAACCTAAAAGTCATCTCTCCTCCAAACCCCACATACTGGCCAACATCTCCTAGAAAACGGCCAGATATATTAGACATATTTGTAACAAAAATTCCAAACACACTCTACTCTTCAATTGTAAACACTTGTGCCCCATGCTCGGATCACTCCCCCGTATTACTTTCAATAGACTGTCAGCCTCTACCTAATCAGTATAAACCGCCACCGCTACATAATAACATCAACTGGGATAGTTTTCATAAATTAATCTTACAAAAAACCAGTCTAAAAGTCTGCCTAAAAACAAACAACGACATTGACGAAGCTGTGAATCTTCTCACATCCATTATACAAGATTCAGCATGGGAATCAGCAAAACCATCGCAACCACTCATATCCAACACAATTCTTCCTTTATATATTCGCAACCTCATATCACTAAAACGTCGTGCTCGCTACTAATGGCAAAGAACAAATTATCCCTCCGACAAATCCCAATACAATGCGCTTACACAAAAACTAAAACGGACCATGGCTAACTACAGAAATGAGTCCTATACAAAACACTTAGAATCACTCACGACAAAAGACGGTTCTCTCTGGAAGGCTACCAAAAACCTTCTTCGTATACGTAATCCTCCAGCTATACTGCGAAACACTAATGGAAATTGGGTACACTCTAATGAGGACAAAGCTAGCATATTTGCAAACTACCTCGCTGAAACCTTTCAACCTCATAATAGCATTCTCCTTCCAGAAAAAATTAACATAGTTGAACAATTTCTCAACTCACCATTACAAATGTCCCTCCAGCCAAAACATACCTCTCCTGCTGAAGTCCAATACACCATATCCAAACTCCCACGAAAAAAGGTCCCCCGGTTACGATCTAATAACTTCAGAAATACTAAAACAACTTCCGCAAAAAGTTATCGTTCTAATAACCTATATATTTAACTCAATGCTCCGACTATCCTACTTCCCTATTTTATGGAAATACTCCTCTATCATACCTTACTATTCAATATTTTCCTTTATGACCAACCCACACTACCCACGAGTCTCATAGCTGACTTTGCTGACGACAAAGCACTAATAGTCACCAACCATGATCCTTCTGTTGCTTCGGCACTCATCCAAGAATATCTCTCACTTCTCGAAAAATGGTATAAGGAGTGGGGAGTCAAAATAAATGAATCAAAATCGACCCACTGTACCTTCACCCTTAGAAAGGGAAAATGCCCACCTATCACCCTTAACGAGCATACTCTGCCAATCGCAGCGAGCACTCGCTATCTAGGCATTATTATTGACCAACGACTCACCTGGTTTCCTCATCTCCGTGACAAACTACTATCCTTAAATAACCGTTTCCGTCTTCTCCGCTCTCTTCTAAATTCCAGCCATATAAGCTTACCTACCAAGCAACTAATATACAAACTTTACCTCAAACCAATATGGACGTACGGAATCCAGTTATGGGGTTCCGCAAATATCTCAAACATTAACCGCATACAGCGCTTCCAATCCAAAACCCTTCGTGCTATTACAAAAGCACCCTTTTACGTATCTAACCAGTCCTTACATAATGACCTTGCCATCCCACCCATCCTTGACGTAGCCAGAACCTATTACAGGCGATTCAATTTAAATGTTCAAAATCACACCAATCCCTTAATCAAAGGTCTTGCATCAGCAAATATACCTAATAACCCAAGGAAAAGATTAAAAAGGCGGTGGTGTCGGGACCTGCTAATCTAAAAACTTAAATTGTAATATAATACTATTGTAAACCCATATACTCATGTACATAAGTAACTGTCAAAGTGCCTATAGTGAAAGGTTTCTTTAATCTGTGTTTCACCCAAGCCATTACTTTTCTTTTGATCACTTTTGCTCATTGTTCTATTATGTAACAGATTGTAAATTATATAATTAAAAAAAAAAAAAAAAATTTTCGATTGTTTGGGACACTAAACCTATCGGCCCGCGTCGCAACTATTCTTCGTTTTATATTATAAAGTGCCTTACACACCACGCGTTTTCGACGCGGCGTTTTAGAGCGTTTTAGACGCAGCGTTCGAATGCCAAAAATCAAACACGCATCAATATTTGGCTATGTCCGAACGCTTCGAAACGCGCTGGTTTAATTTCAAGCGTTTTGGGCGCGGCAATATCTAAAATTAAACACTGTATTTCCTATATTGTAACTAGGCGTTTGCGACGTCGCGTTTTGCAGCGTTTCTATTTATAATCAGTTTATTTAGTTACCAGACGTCCAGACGTAGACAAATTAGTTAGTCTGTGTAGTCAGTCGGTAATAACACTATAATAAATTATATTAAAAATTAAAATGTACAACACTGAAGATTTTATATTAGAAATATATAAAAATGAAGAATTGTGGAATACAAGTAAGAACTTAATTTTTTTAAAGTGATGCATTTCATACCTACTTATATATTAATAATAATATATCACTATATTCATCATAGAGTTGGCGTCATATCATGACAGAAATAAAATACACGTTGGCTGGACAGTTGTGGGAAAAGCACTTATTGAGAATTTTGATGATTTGACAGAAAAATAAAAACAAGCTAAAAGTAAGTAAAATATTATAGGTATGTTTTATGGTTGCGTTATTAACTTACACAAAAAAAAAGGTTTGATTCAGGTTTAGAACACAATTATTGTTATGGACTAATATTGAATACTTTTATTATTAAGTAATAAGTTACATAGTAGGTGCATGTGCGTGTTCTTATAAAAATCTAAAATCTTAAGACAAAAAATCAATTAAACACTAATAAATATAACTAAGTTATAATATATAAGTACATAAAATAATATAAATATTCATATTTTATAATGCCTACATAAAAAACCAAACTTGGTTATTATTAAGTTATAGCTTAAAATACTAATTTCCAGGTATATTGTATAAATATTTATTAAATTAAATAAATTAAGCAATCACCCTATTTTGCCAAGCAAAGGAATGGTTAGGATTATTTACATAGTTTACAAAATACTCCCTTATATTTTTAGCGTCGCTTGATGAATAATTACCAACTACTTTTTTTTCATTTATTGACAATTATTATTAACGTGTCTTCGATATTGAAATTATCTTTTCGCCGGACATAATTATGCAATACGCAGCAAGCTTTTGTTATTAGTACTGCAAACTCAGGTTCTACCAATAAGCTAGTATGAAGGACCCTCCATTTGTTTGTCAGTATACCAAACGTGCATTCAATATATTGTCTAGCTCTTGATAGGCGATAATCAAAAATACGTCTCTGGTCATTTAAGCTTCTGCCGGGAAATGGCCGTAATAAATTTTTACATAGGGCAAAAGCCTCATCTCCCTCTAAAACAAATGGCTGTGGGTCACCATTTTCGTCTCCAGGCAACTGGTTATTAGGAGGAAAATTGACTTTGCCAGAATATAATTTTTTCCCGAAAGTCGAACGTTTTAAAATATTACAATCACTCTCTTTGCCATACGAGCCGATATCGATTACGCGGAAACAATAATTTGAATCACTAACGGCTAACAATATAATTGAAAAAAAATGTTTATGACTATAGTATAAAGTTCCGCTTTTTTTTAGGACATTGTAGCCTAATGTGTTTGCCATCTATTGCGCTCACTGTATTGGGGAAACTACTGTTTTCATAAAAACCGGCAGCTATGTCACACCATTCTTTTATGGTTGGAGGAGCCATTTCCATGGGGTATAAAATATCCCATAATATGCCACAAGTCTCTTTTATAATATTGCGTATTGTCGATACACCCATTAAAAAGTCAAAGTGGAGTGCCGAAAAGTTAGTTCCGGTTGCTAAAAAAAAAAAAGGAGAACTTTATTGTTAAATTTCTAAGTTGAACTAAAATTTTTTTATTTTTTTTTCATTTTTTTTTAAGTAATATATTTTGTATACTCATAGTTTCTGAAATGAAAATAAAATGGAAAAATTTAAAAGATAACTACAGAAGAAAATGTACAAATAAGTCGGGTCAGGCCGCCACTAACGAAAAGCCATATGTCTATGCAAAAGTTTTGGAGTTTCTTCGGCCTACGATAGAAAATAGAAAGTAATTATGTCAAGTTATATTATTTTTTACTTAATATGTCTACTTATTTTCATAGAACTCAAAATAACATAATGAGTGAATCAGAAGAAGACGAAGTTGAAAGTGAAGGTGATGAAATATTCGTGGTAGGGCAAGATATAAATGAAGAAAGCTTGCTGAAAAAAAGTTTTTCTCATACACAGGAAATGACAAAAATAAAAAGAACAAAAAAATCTCAGGTAAATGAGATAAAAGAAGTCAAAGAGGTTGATCTTATACATTTTTTAAAAAATCGTCCAAAAGAGGTAGAAGATCCCGATAAGTTGTTTTTACTATCTTTAACGCCTCTTATTAAAGATTTCACTAGTGATCAAAAGACTCAACTGTACATTGAATTTTTGAATGCTATACAAAAAATTAAAAACACTTCTCAACATCAATTTTCTTTTCAAAGAAATCAAATGCCATCATTAACACCTCATAATCAAAATAATACATTTACTCAGCCTCAGCTCTACTCATTAGGCACTACTCACCCTATAGTACAATTACCACTAAATACTCAAAATAATAATCATCAAACATCAAGCCCTGTCTATTATTAAAGACCAATATCTTCAACTCCACATATGGATTATTATAATTATAATTATAACTCTCCATGCCTATCAGAAACACAAAATTCTAATTCTTCGCACTTTTCCCAAGATACAACATCCGACTCAATATAAAAAACATTACAGTATCTCATTTACATAATATAATGTTATTTTTTAAACTAGTTGTTATAAAAAAAAAAATCATAAAAATATTGCTTACCTATTATTTATCTTAATTTAACTGGCAATCTTATAAATTTTCATTTTAATTAATATTGATATTGTATTAGTAACACAACGAGAAGTTAAAAAGGTATTTGATTTTTTTTTTTTTCATTGCAATACTATGTTATTATCATTTTTATTTTACATCATTATACTCTGTTTTTATTGATATTAAAAAGTATTGTTTTGTATATATAATTTACCTTAATTTAGCGGCTAATCTTTCTTCTGGAGGAATTGTAAGGCGGAACACTGTATTTTGCTTTCTTACATGTTCTCCGACAGTAGTTAACTATAGTAATATAATTGATTAAATGTATATGAATTAAAATGTTTCTTAACTTTTATTAATTATTGAAATATTTTAAAGTTAACAAGTTATCAAATGATGAAACGGACATACGAAAATCTTTGAAGAATTCTTCTGGATACTGCCTCAATACAGAAAAAGTAACTTTAAATTGACCTTCCTGAGGCCTTTTAAGGTTTAGTGGGTGCACCCACCATCGACGATTAGTTACTATTTTTTTTCTCTCCTTACATTGTTGCATTCTTTTATACAATTCATAAACTAAGCAAGCTGCTTCCACATCATCTAATGTATTTATATCTAATCCGTTTAACGCCATTTAAAATAAATTAATTAACAAAAACGTTGTACGATGTTTACACGAGTACGTTTACAATAACGTAAAATTAACGTCTAAATAACGTTAGTACCGTACGTTAGTAACGTTAAATACCAAATGACATTTTGGACAACGAAATTAGGTTGTATGCCATTCCCGGGTGTACGCTACCAATAATGTTTGTTTCAAAAACAAGTTGTCAAAACGCGTACGCTAGCGTCTAAAACGCATGGTGTGTAACCAGCTTAAGACTAGCACCGGTGAACAGGGGCGTAATTAGGGGGGGGATTAGGGGGATGGATCCCCCCCAAAACTTTTTTGTATGTTTTTTTTTTTTTATTATAGTGATGGTACTATGATTATTATAAATTATGATTATTATTATTATTACGATTACTTTTATTATTATTATTATTATTATTATTACGATTACTTTTATTATTATATGATACTTCAACGCGGCCTACGTTAATCCCGACAGACCGACCGTTTGTATACTTGTATTTCCGATTCTTAAAATAAAACATGCGGGTTGTTGTCGAGAGCCGGAGAGCACACGTGCGCTAGCGCGCATTGACAAGTATACAAATGCCAATGCACAATAGAACCCTGAACAGTGAACCATACTTTTTTCTAATGGGAAGTATTTTCTTTGATTATATTATATAATACAACCATTACAACCGTATACGAGTTTCGTATTTAATCGTTTATTGTCAGTTGTCACTAGTAGCCAGTTGTAGGTACTAGGTGGTAAATAGTAAACACTAAACAGTAAATGGTAATGGTAATACTTGTTGTACATATTATTCATATGAAATATTCTTTTTGATTATTCAAACGTTATTACGTTAAGTTATATGATGGAACAAAAAAGGAAAAACACTTTTGCATCTTATTTTGTCAAAAAAAACAATTCATGTGATAAAATTGTAGTTGATGATCATACCAAGGTGAGAATGACTAAATTATACCTACTCAATAATCTATTTTCTAATTGCTTGGATGTGATTATTATTTATTAGATTAATGAATGTTTTTTCCAGGAAATTACTAAAAACACAGAAAGTGAATCTAAGATTAATGAATGTGTTACCCAAGAAGTTATTAAAAACACAGAAAATGAATCTAAGTTGATACATGATACTTCTTTAAATAAGGTAAGAATTTAATAACAATTAATGCAATTAATATACTTAGGTAATACAATATTGACATATTGTAGTACAAGTACATTATCAATTAAATTATTCAAATTGAGACTGTATGTATGAGTATGAGCTTATATGAGTTAGGTATTGTCTACTGGTGTCTGGCTTACAAATGTAACAAATACATTTTTGACTTTATATTTATTATTTGATTTAGAAATTTGTACTTTAATTTGAAAATGTAATTATTGCACATTCATACCTATGTAGTATGTAATAAGTAATAACCTATTTATTTGTATTGTACATTACATATTTTTAAGATTGACAGCTTAAACACACTTCATCGCTTCAATGATATTGGTTACTTTGTGAACCAAATTTATTTGTCTGATGCTGATAAATATTTAGTAAGCTTGCTTTAAAATTCTCTAAAAAATTAAAACTACTAGGTAGTCTTTAATAAAAAAAAATAATTACACAAATATAAACAGTTACAATTTTATTTTATTATATTATAATATAATAAATAATATAATAAATAATATATAATTTTATTTTATTATATTATAATAAAATAAAATTGTAAATGTTTATATAATAATGTTTATATTATAAGCGTCTTATTTTTGTAGATACTTACAAATTTGTGGGTACCACCTTCAAATTATACTTTTCCATTGAGTCAAAAAAATGAAAAGCGTAAGCTGCGATTTCAATTTAAATGGCTTTTGGAATTTAATTGGTTAGCTTACTCAGAAGCGAAAGGTGGAGCATTTTGCAAGTATTGCACGATTTTTGTAAAAGTTGGTGGAAAAAATAGGCAACCTTTAGGAAATTTTGTGAAAACACTTTTTGATGCATGGAAAAAGGCAAAACAGGTTATTATCTTATTTCATTTATACTTGTCATAAAAATAAAATATGCATTACATTTAGGCCTTTCGTGAACATTCAGAAATGATCTACTATACATCCTCTACTCTGGATGCAGATCATTTTTTAAAGGTGTACTCCAAACTTGAACCAACAATAATAAACCGATTGGATTCTAGTAGGTATGTCATATCATTTAATTGATGATAATTGATGATGTACCTATAGATAATTAATTATATTTGTAAATGTCTAAATTAGAGTAGAGCAAATCAAAGAAAATAGAAAATGTCTTATTCCCATAATTGAATGTATTATTTTATGTGGCCGCCAGGAAATTGCCTTACGAGGTCATAGGGATGCTGGCAATATTTTTAGTTAGTAAATTTTATCTAAGATTATTAATAATATTAATAACCCTGTATGTTTCAGTTTGAATATGTTAATTTTATTTTTATTTTTAAATTGTATTACAGCTCATGACACATCTAATCAGGGAAACTTCAGGTCAATTTTGTTGTATAGAAGTAACGGTGATGAACATTTAACCAGCATACTTCAAACACCTGGTCGTAATAAATATATTACACCACAAATACAAAACGAAATTATTTCATCTTGTGGAAATATAATATTACAAACCATCGTAAAAAAAGTTAATGACTCTCAGTGCTTCTCAGTTTTAGCTGATGAAACCACAGATATATCTGTGACTGAACAGCTTGCTCTGTGTGTTAGGTATATTGATAAAGAAAACAATGTTAATGAAAGCTTTCTTAAGTTCATTCAAGTGCATAGCTTATCTGGAAAAAACTTGGCAGATTCTATTTTGAATGGTAAATTGTATTTGGGATTTGAGTTCATAGTATACCTATTACCTACTTAATGTTCTAATTTACTAAAATGTTACTGTTTTACAATTTTATATATAGGTTTAATAAGTTGTGGAATAGATTGTGATTTTTTGTATGGGCAGGGTTATGACGGAGCAAGTAACATGTCTGGTCAATTTCAGGGTGTACAAGCACATATAAGATCCAAATACCCTAAAGCACTTTATGTGCATTGTGCAGCCCACTCTCTAAATTTAGCAGTTTCAACTGCTAGTAATATTAAGTCAGTTAGAAACTGCTTAGGAATTATTGAAAAATTATATGTATTTTTCAATACTCCGAAACGAAATGCAGTACTTTTGTCAGCTATTGAAAATAGCAATACTGATCAAAAAGTTAAGACACTTAAAAGGTTATGTGCAACGCGCTGGGTACAGCGGTATGATTCTGTTCATGATTTTATTGAACTTTTTGAATTTTTAGTAAACGCTTTAGAGTGTATAACTGAATGGAATGATTCTTCAGCTACAGATGCAACATTACTTTTAAAATCATTTGACTCAGAATTCATTATTTCTGTTAATATTGTTCAGGTAAAAAAAAAAAATATTTTATTTATAAGTATTTAAAATGAGACATTATTTTGGTAGTTTAACCTTGGTACCTAACTTTATAATAAAATAAGCTTTAAATTAATTTTATTTTTCATGATTTTTTTAGCTTATGTTTTCATTCGGATTACCCTTATGTAAACAATTGCAAAAAATAAATATTGATTTAAAGGAAGCTATCAATTTAGCACAAGACACTGTTGATGAATTGAAGACAATTAGAAATAATTGTGATGATGAATTTAATAACATATTTTCAAAAGCAAAGGTAAATATACAATATACAGCGCATTTGTTTAATGTTTATGGTATCTACTATGTGTTTTATTTTATAATCGTTTTTTATAGAAAATGGCTGATAAGGTAGAGGTAGAGTTAAAATATAAAAGATTGGGGAAAAGACAAACCAATCGAGCTAACCCATTAACTGATCAAACCATAAGTGTAAATGATTATTTTAAAATAACTGTGTTTATTTCATACATTGATTTTTTTATAAGTCAATTAACTGAGCGATTTTTATCACATTCCAAAGTATTTAATGGTAAAAAAAAATTCTAAAATATTTTTGAAATTGTAAATTTACTAATAATATTTTTTTTATCAGGTTTTGGATGTTTGTTTTCAAGTAATGAGCATTTCACAGAAGATGATCAATTACATTTTACGTAGTTAGTTGAATTTTATTCTCCTCAGGTAGACAAAAATAATTCATTAACAGAGTTAAGACTTTGGCGAACAAAACTCAGGAGAACTAGCTGTATACCTAAAACTGGGATTGATGCACTTACAGAATGCAACAAAGAGATATACCCTAACATTTATTTATTATTAAAAATATTGTGTACATTACCCGTATCTACCACTACTCCTAAACGTATGTTTTCAGCTCTAAAAAGAGTTAAAACATACCTACGGAATACTATGACTGAAGTAAGTAGCTCTTAAAATTTGATTTATATTTCAAATTAATAATACTGACAATTAATTATTTAAATCATTTTTAGGATAGGTTAAATGGGTTAAGTATGTTGGCGGTCCATAGAGACATTAAAGTTAGTCCTGAAGATGTATTAGATGATATTGCTAAAAGACCAAGACAATTGGATCTAGTTTTGTAAAATTATTCAAGCTACCTAAAAATATCATAAATACTTAAATTGTATATTGTATAATATATTAATATAGTTATAAAATAAATAATTTTCTAATAAATTGTATTTTTTAATAACTATAATAAAAAAAAATTTGTTCTGGTGGGGTGAGGGGGGGGGTTACTGTATGAGGTGTACAGATAATGCTAAAACCTATTATCCCCCCCCAAACCAAATTCCTAATTACGCCACTGCCGGTGAAACTCGCTGTATGTGGAATACCCTAGGTCGGTAAAACTCGCTGTATGTGAATACCCTAGGTCGGTAAAACTCGCTGTATGTGAGTACCCTAGGTAGCTGAATATCGTTTGAAGTGAATTTTCTAGGTCGGGGACAGGACTTAAGAATACAGCAGTTAGAAAAGTCTAGTAGGCAA